TGGTGAAGTCTTTTGAAGAGCATAGGTGTTTGATTTTTAGAAGATCCCAGTTATCTAGTTTATCCGTTGGGTTTTGTGTGTTGATGGTTGTGGTTTGTATCCTGTTAATGCGGTCATATCACTCTTGTGTTTAAAATCTGCGAAGAGCTTCCCACTGCCTAACAACAAACTCTTTAGCATAGTGTACAGGGTTCTTTGTAACCTGGCCGCTGATTACCTCTCCAGCCTTATCTCTCACCCTGTCCTCTTCTGTACAGCTTAAGTTCCACTTATATCCAGCTGCTTGCTGCCCTCAGACACACCATTTTCATACCTTTGCCTAAAATGCTTTTCCTCCAGTGCTAAATAACTGGGAACAATGGCTAATTTTTTCAAACTCAGCTCAAATAGTTCCACCTTCCTGATAAGTGACCACACTTTCCTTTGTGTTTTACCGTATCCTGTATATGTTTCTGTCCTGAATCAGTACTATATTGTGGCTCAGATATTTACATATATCTTTCCCAATTAGACCATGGATGGAGGCATCTTACTTATTTTTCATCCTCAGGACCTAGCACATTGCCTGGTACATTAAAAAAAATAAGAAAAAAAACCAAGCCCACTATTATCGAGTTGATTCTGACTCATGGCAACCCCATGTCTTACAGAGTAGAACTGGGCTGCATAGGGTTTTCTTGGCTGTAATTTTGTTGTGTGTGTGTTCTAGTAAAACTTTATTTCTGGAATTTGAATTTCATGTAATTTTCACATGTTAGGAAGTATTGTTCTTTAGATTTTTTTCAACCATTTAAAAATGTAAAGCTCATTCTTAGTTGCAGGATATACAAAAACAGGTGGCGGGCCTACTTTAGACTCACAGCTAGGTTGGGAAGGAGGCTTCATGCCCTTCTGACGGGCGAAGGAACCAGGCCCCAGAGAGGTGGAGCCACAGCCCCAGAGCCAATTAGTGCAAGAGCTGGGACCAGAGCTCTAGACCATGTGTAATCTGGTGCATTTTCTACCAGTAGTCCACGTTGCCTCTCAGGCTAAGGGGGCCCGGGGCGGTAGAGATGAAAGAAGGCCTGTGATGTGGAGAGAAGCAGGGCAGAAGGAGGCAGAGAAGAAAGCAAGCAAGATCTATCTGGAGAGGGTTGTGGAGCTGCCGAGGGCCTTCCAGGGCCTGGTATTTAGTGGGTGCCAAGTGAACAGACATTTGTTGAATTAAATCTACTTCTTGGTCTGCATCCTAGTGTCTCTTGGAGCATGCCGTCTTGCTGGGCGCCTTTCTGTGCAGGACAGGGGGTAACGGTTCACCTTCATCTCCCACCCACCCCTTGCCTCACCATCCCAGAGAGTACTCCAGAAGGGGATACAGAGGCACAGTTCACATACAGCCTGAAGTCACGGTTTTCCATGAAGTCATTGTGGTGGCACAAAGAATGTGGGAGCACCCCATGGCTGGGAACCAGGGTCCTGGCCTAGGCTCTGCCCTTTGCCAGAAAGTCTCCAGGTCATACTGGACAAGTTGTTCCATTTTTTGTGGGCTTTCCTTTCCTCTGCTGTTAAATGGGCTTAATGATGCCAGCCCAGCTTACTTCTCAAGATGTTCTGGAAATCTAAGGAATTTAAGTTTGAAAAGGATAAAGTGCTGAAGAAATGTAAGAATAGGGAAAAACTGTAAACACACCTGGCTTCCCCTTCACGGCTCAGTCAGGGTCAATTATTCAGATCCGTTGACTTGGTGTTTCTGGGCCAGCCCAACAACTTTTTTTTGAACATTTTATTGTGCTTTAGGTGAAAGTTTATGGAGCAAATTAGTTTCCCATTCAATAATTTATACACAAATTGTTTTGTGACATTGATTAATGTCCTTGCAGTGTATTAGCACTCTCCTCCCTTTTCATCCTGGGTTCCTCGTTTCTATCCCCCCTTTTCACCCTGGGTTCCCCGTTTCTATTCATCTGGTTTTCCTGTCCTTCCCTGTCTTCTCATCTTTGGTTTTGGGCAGGTGTTGCCCATTTGGTCTCGTATACTTGATTGTTCTAAGAAGCACGTTTCTCACAGTTGTTATTGTTTGTTTTATAGAACTGTCTAATATGTGGCTAAAAGGTGAACTTTGGGAGTAGCTTCAGTTCTGAGTTAGAAGGGTGTCTAGGGGCCATAGTCTCGGGGGTTCCTCCAGTCTGTCAGACCAGCAAGTCTGGTCTTTTTTGTGAATTTGAATTTTGTTCTTCGTTTCTCTCCCGCTTTGTCTGGGACCTTCTATTGTGATCCCGGTCAGAGCGGTTGGTGGTGGTAGCCAGGCACCATCTAGTTCTTCTGGTCCGAGGCTAGTGGAGGCTGTGGTAATCTTTATGGAGGCAGATCACCAGGCCTTTATTTTGTGGCAGTGCTGAGTGGGCTTGACTGCTAATCTTTCGGTTAGTAGTTGAGCGCAATCCGTTTGTGCCACCCAGGATCCTGCCTGGCACATAATAGGTGCTTAATAATGTTTGTAGAAGGAAGAAAGGCAAGGAGGGAGTAAGAAAACATCTGTTGATGTTAGGGGCCATCACGTCAGTTCTGACTCTTAGCAACCCTGTGTGCAACAGAATGAAACGCTGCTGGGTCCTGTGCCATCCTCACAATCATTGTTATGCTTGAGCCCATTGTTGCATCCACTGTGTCATTCCATCTTATTGAGGGTCTTCCTCTTTTTCGCTGACCTTCTGCTTTACCAAGCATGATGTCCAGGACTGATCCCTCCTGATAACCTGTCCTAAGTATGTGAGACAAAGTCTTGCCATCATCACTTCTAAGGAGCATGCTGGCTGTACTTCTTCCAAGACAGATTTGTTTGTTCTTCTGGCAGTCCATGGTATATTCAGTATTCCTCGCCAACACCATGATTCAAAGACATCAGTTCTTCTTCAGTCTTCCTTATTCATTGTCCAGCTTTGGTATGCATATGAAGCGATTGAAAACACCATGGCTTGGGTCAGTTGCATCTTAGTCCGTAAAGCGAGATCTTTGCTTTTTAAAGAGGTCTTTTGCAGCAGATTTGCCCAATGCAGTGTGTCGTTTGATTTCTTGACTGCTGCTTCCATAGGCATTGATTCTGGATCCATGTAAAATGAAGTCCTTCACAACTTCAGTGTTTTCTCCATTTATCATGATGTTGGTTATTGGTCCAGTTGTGAGGATTTTATTTTTTTCCTTTATGTTGAGGTATAATCCATACTGAAGGCTGTAGTCTTCGATCTTCCTCAGTAAGTGCTTCAAGTCGTCTTCACTTTCAGCAATCAAGGTTGTGTCATCTACATTTCCCAGGGTGTTAATGACATATCCTTAATAAGGATCATCCAAGTTGTGGTAACACTGTGTGAATAAATTTTGGGTATCTAATTGTAGTAAACATACTTTCCCCTTCTTTTTAGGTGTAGAACTTCAAGGGAGAATCCCATCTGTTCTGCAGGTAAGCAATTATTTCGTGATGGTAGTCTGCCTGCTTTAAGTGACCTTCTAGTATTCAGTAATAATTTTGTCTGAAAAGATTCCTGACATATCTTTGAGAAGAGTGCCTGGGACCAAATCCCACCCTTCACATGGAATAGGGCAGTGGAAAAGAACATAAAGTAGTAGTTAAGAGCAAGTACTCTGTAGAAGGTTTGAATTCTGACTCTAGCATATTACCAGTTCTTTGACCTTTGGCAAGCTATCTAGCCTCTCTGTAGCTTGGTTTTCTCACTCCAAAAATGGAGATGATTATAGTACAGACTGAAGTGAATTTGAAGATTCAAAGAGATAAAACCCAAAAAGGGCTCAAAAAGTTAGCTACTATTCCAGACCTGTCTTTCATGTCCATCATCCACCAGGCTAGGACTTTTCTCACAGTGGTTTATCCGAAATTAATATCCGCTCAATCTGATTAACTCAGTGAATTTCTATTTCTGTTTCAACCCAATTACTTTCCATTTTTGCTTTGTCTGTTTATGTGATAAATTTCAAAGCAGTTATTGGATTTTGATGCCATTTTTCATGTGACTAAAGATTATCAGATGTAAAGGAATGGGAGTAAGGAAGTATGGAGTATCTACTGTGTGCCAGGCAGTGTGTGAGTGGCTTTACATTATTCTAGAAGAAAGCAACAATGTGTAGGGAGTCACCATTTCTACCAGGCCCAAAGCCCAGCATCTCAAAATATTAGCTGCCTTTTTTTTGCCGGAATATCCTAGTGGGCCATAAAGGACTAAAGGAAAATTTAAATATGATTGGTAGTTTAACTCACCATTTTCAGGAAAAAGCCTTTAGGCATGTGTTCTAAAGTTTTCATTCATTTATTCATTCACTCAACAAACTTTTATTGTACTAGGCTGTAGATTAAGTACTGGAGATACAAAATTAAAAGGATAGTCCTCGCAGTTTAGAAGCTTATTATGGCTTTATAAGAAATAATATTTTTCTCTAAGAATAATACAATGAACACCTCTATACTCACCACCTTGATTCAACTGTTGTTAACATTTTGTCATGTTAGCGTTCTCTGTCAGACATCATGACACTTTACCACTAAGTACTTCAGCATGCATTTCTAGAAATAAGGATATTCTCTACATTCTTTTAAAGAACCACAATACCATTATTTCACTGAAGAAGATTAATAACAATGCCCCAATGTCATCTAATACCCTATCCATTTTCTCAGCAGTCTCTAAAATGTCTTTTATCGGTGTTGTTTTAACCAAGAGCCAATGAAGTTTCATACTTTGCATTTGGTTGTTATGTCACCTTTAATTTAGAACAGTTCTGCCACATTATTTTTTTATTTTTTTTTAGTAAAGTAAAAAGAAAATTTTATTCGGCATATGTTCAAAAGGACAAAAGTGGGAAGCGGACAACCATGCTGCTAGAGGCATGTCTGCCTGAGTCCAAAGAATATTACAGAATAGGCAAGAATGGGAAAGTGGACAAGCATGCTGCCACAACCATGTCTGTCCAAGTCCAAGGAAGGTTACAGAATCATCAGTATATATGGACATCACAAAATGGGTAGAATCATTGAAAGCATCACTTTTTCACTGATTGGCTAGAAATTGTAATCTTACATTTTGAATCATCTTTCTTAACAATCATTGGTACGGGTTTCAGTTACAAAAGTCAGGAGGGTCTTCATTGGTCCGACAAATTCCTAGTCACTAAATGTTAATAGAAAAAGACAAAAGGTGAGAAGCCCTTTGGGTTAGGTTTTATTGCCGTTTTGTGAAAACTTCCTTAAGATAATTTCTGAGTTTGTCCCATCTGTTCTCTTATCTCAGGGCCCAGTTGATGTGTCTTTGTGAGTCTGTGAGGGCTCAGCTGGGTCACAATTCTCGATGCTCAAGGAGAGGGAATAATAGCTCCAATATTATTTCCTAAGTCAGTCCCTCCTTTTGATCAGAGATTAGAGATAACACATCAATGATCAATACCTGGACTTGGTCGAGCTCCTAGATGGCGGCCATTGCAGGCTCTTTAAACTCACAGTGCTGGTTTTCTACCTGATACCATCTGGTTCTTCACCAGGTTATTAAGTAAGAGCGATGTTCCCATCAATGGCATTGCCGGAGTGATCTGCCACTTTATTTTTATTTTACTACAAAGACTTTCGGATGAGACCAGACCATTTGTCTTGTAGAATGTCCTCCCTTCTGGATATAGCTGACTGTTTTCTCATGGTGTTCTGTAACATGTTCTTCTGTCCTCTTCCTACAAATTGGAAGTTAGATGGGTCTGAAACCTTGACTAGACTCAAGTTAAACAGTTTCAGCAAGAAAACTTCATAGTTGATGCTCTGAACTTCATATTGTATCCTATTAGGAGATTTTTATAAATAACTAAGAATATATGGTTATAAAGGTAAAATGCATTTTAAGAAATATGAGAAATTAACATTAAAAAGGGCTGAAGAATAGAATAATCACCTGTAATCCTACCATCAAGGATTATTTTTTAATATTTTACGTATATCCTATCAGATCATATGTATATACATATATATTTTTTTGTCTTGCAGTAATAGGAACAAATGATATATAATACTTTATAATCTGCTTTTTTCACTTTATTTGTGAACATCTTTCTACTTTAAGAAATAAATAATCTATATCCCTATTTTGAGTGGCTGCATAGTACTGCATTAAATGAAACAATTTTGGAAAAAGATTCTGAGTCTGATTCTGAACATGCTGCGTTGGAGTGCCTGGGAGGAGGATATATTAAGTAGCCAATTAGATACACTGATTCTGAGCTCAAAAAATAAGTCTCTGTTGAAGCTATAAATTTGGAAGTTATGATTTTGTTGGTTTTAATTGAAGACATGGGAGTGAATGAGATTGCCTAAGGAGAAAAGGTAGAGAAGGGACCAAGGATCAGGACCTGAGGACATCCAACATTAAAAAGTTGGTTAGAGGGATGAAATAGATGGCTCATGAGGTTCAAAAAGGGAGGCCAAAGTGGTAGGAGAAAACCAAGATAGTATAGTTTGATAGCAGCCAAGAGGAGAGTGTTTCAAGAAGGAAGGAGTAGTTAACCATGTTGTTTCAACTGAGTGCCGCTGAGAGATCAGGAAAGATACGAACTTAAAAATATTCCTTGGCTCTAGTAACATAGAAGGCATTGGTGACCTTAGGGAGAGCAGTGTCTATGTAGGTGGGGTGGGGTCAGTTGTAGAAATCAAACTGGAATGAGTTGACAAGTGAATAGGAGTTATGGAATTAGAGAAAGCTACCACAGACAATGCTTTTAAGAAGTTTGACTGAATGGGAGGCAAGAGAATTGGCAGGAGCTGGAGCAGGATATGGGGCCAAGGAAAGGTTTTTTAAAATGGTTATTTGTTAATTACACTTTTCATTTTGAGAGATATAAAAAATATAGAAAAGTAAAAGAGGTAATATATCAAATAAACCTAGAATTGGCAATGATTGACAATTACTAACATTTTGTCATTCTTTCATTATCTTTTTTGTATTTAAAATGTAGATGATGTTCAGTTCTCCTATGTTCCCTAGCCTTGGTCTCATCTCTCATCTCCAACCAGAGGCAGGGTTTGTTTTGAACTGGTATATATTCTGAGGAAAGTTTTTGTTTGTTTTTAATTACTATTAAAATTATCAACTGTTCAAACTTTTGAATGCATGTGTATGGTAAAAATAGATGTAAACCATACAAAAGGGTATATGATGAAGAGTAAAAATTTTCTTCCCCTTTCCCAGTCTTACTTCATAGTGGTGTCCACTGATACCAGTTTCTTGTGCATCTTTCTGGAAATTTTTATGCATATATGAACACATGTATTATGTGTGTGTATAAAAATATATTTTACACAAATGGGATCATATTATAAATGGAGAACCCCATTGTATGAATGTGTCTTAATGTGGACATTTAGGTTGTTATTAGTTTTTTGCTATTTCAAAAAATTCTGCAGTAAACATTTTTATACATAAATCTTTTGCAAACTTATTCCAGTATATTTGTAAAATAAAGTCCTGGAATTGAAATTGCTGAGTCAGTGGATTGTAAATTGAAAATATTGCTAAGTACTGCCAGATTGCCCTTCAGAGAGGGTGTACTAATTTAAATTTCCTCTAACACTATATATGTCTATTTTCTGGCCAAAAGTGGACTTTATAAAACATTTTATCATTTTGCTAGTAAAAAATTATGTCTCATTGTTTTAATTTGCATTTTTTGAGTTAGTCATCTTTTCATGTTTATTGGCCATTTGTATTTCTTTCCTGGTGAACTGCCTGATTATATTTTTTGCCCAGTTTTCAATAAGATTGTTTGCTTTTTTCTTTTCAATTTATAAGAAATTTTTATTTAATAAGGAAATTGGCATTTTTCTGTCATATACCGTATTTTTGCACAAACAATGTGTGCCTTCTATGTTTGTTTGGCATCCACTACCCCTCGCCCCCTCATATTTTGGTAAGTACCCCAATGCTAATTTTTTTATAGCAACATGTAAAAAAAATTGGTTTAGAGGTACCTACAAAAATATCTTGAGGGGAGGAAGCGTCTGGCAAACAAACATAGAAGGCACAGTTATTCATGTAAAAATACGATACTTTCTATTTTTTATAGTCATCTATCTCTTGACTTTGTTTTTGTCTTTTTTGTTGAACAGAAGTTTTAAATTTTTATGTAGTTTAGTAATCTTTGACTTCTAGATTTTGTTTCATGCTTAAAAAGATCTATACTCTAAGATTATTTTTCAAAAGTTTTGTTATCTTCTGTTACTTTTTTTCTTTAAGTATATAGTCCATCTAGCATTAGAAGTGGGGTAAGGATGCAGTCTTTTCTCCCCAGATAGACAGTCAGTTGTTTTAACATTTGTTGAATATTTACGTTTTTCCTGTAGGCTTGAGAATGTCAATGTTATCATATGCTAAATTTCCATGTAGATCTGGGACTATTTTTTAACTTTGTTTTGTT